AGTCATGATGAGTATCTCCGCCGGACACACCCACAGCAGGATGGGATTCTTTCTGAAACTGGTCTTGGAAGTTAACGTCAGATTCTCCCTCAATTCCCCCATCCTTTTTATTCCCGTTGAAGATGAGAAACTCAGCAACCATCTTGAGTGTCCTTGGCCATTGACTTGCAGAGATCCCTTCTAATCCTTTGGTTTGCTGAGACAAACTATTGTCTGTGGTTACTGCTTCCCACACACATTCCCTCACAGTCCATCACATTCCCTACTGGGAATTCCTACACTGCCAGGCCATGGTCATAATGAATTTATGACACACAAAGCACACTTGCATGCATGCTATTTCCACATCAACCCAGCCCTGACAGGCATCCCTTTCTAATCCTAGAAATGAAGAGCCTGAGATCCAGCTGCTAAGAGGTGAGGTAGGCATTTGGTCCTACTCTGACTTCCAATTCAGTGCTCTTCACTTGCACACGTTGCCTTTGCACACACACTTGCTCACATGCTTATCTTCTTTTAGTCTACAAATATTTATGGAATGCTTACTAGGTACAAGCCCCTGTTCTAAGCCCCAGAGATAAGAGTGAATTAAGCAGACGTGGTTGCTCTCCTCATGGAGCTTACCGTATTGAAAGGAAAACAAGTAAACAGGCAATTCACATATAGTATGCCATCTGCCTACAATGGCAGAAGTGCAGGGTGCTGGGGAGCACCTGGGGGTGTCACACATTGTAGACCTGCACAGTCCTGGAGAGCTATCCAAAGGAGACATCACTGTGGAAACTGAGGGGTTAGGCAGAAAGTAGCCAGGGGAAAAGACAGGCTCCAAGTAAAGGGGACGTCCCCAAGATGAGAGACAGTGTGACACTTGATGAAACTGAGATTCAGGCCAGCCTGGGAAGGTTGTGGGAGATGAAAAGAAGAAGCTGGAGAAGGCAGCAGGGGCCAGAGCATGAAGAGTCTACTTCACTCTGTTAGGGAATTTGGACTTTCTCCGGAGGTCACTGGGAAGTACTGGGGAGTTTTGAGCAGGGGAGTAACAGGACCAGGTTTGCATTAAGAAGAATCACTCAGGCTAAAGTGTGGGGACTAGCCTGCGGACAGGCAGTGCAAATGCAGGGGGAGGAGCAAGCAGTGGTTGCAATAATCTGGGAGAGAGATGACAGCATTCAGCTCTCAGGCAGTTGGAGCTAACTGGAATGCTCTGGTAGATATCGAGGATGGAGAATGGCTGAAACTCCAGGACTGAGGGAAGGTGCTAATGGGGAGAGGGCAAAGGGTGGCATGTGGGTTACTGACATGAGCCATCCATAAGTGATGGTGTCATGCATTGAGACAGGAACAACAGGAAGAACAGGGGAGGTGTTCAGGGCAGGTGATTAGTTCTCTTTGGGTACAGTTGATTTTAATTATCTTCAAGGTATCAAACAGGCTGTTGGATACCTGAATCAGGAACTAAAGCAGGGCTGAGATGGAAATTTGAGAGATGTCAGTTGAGATAGCCAAGGACACACTGGCATAAAAGGAATGCCTATAGGGAGTAGGGAAAGTGAGGAGTGGGCCTAGGACCAAATCCTGTGGATTATCGACATTCAAGGAACAGGCTGCAGAACACGTCAGCAAAGGAGACCGAGAAGGAGGTGCCAGAGAGAGGGGGAAAAAGACAGAAGAGCCAGGCTCTTGGAAGCCAATGACGGACCGTTTCCCCGGGGTCTGTGAGTACCTGCCTGACACACAGTGGGAGCCATAAAGGAGGAGGCCAGGTGTTGCGGGAAGCCACACTAGTAGAACACCAGAGCATTGCATTCCTTCTCCCTTCCAAGTCCAGCCCCTGCCCCTGCACAGGACTTTGTGTGCAGGTGACACAGCAGCCTGCCTGCATCCACACTGGAACTGCACCCAGCTACCTTCCATTCCCCAAAGTCAGCCACACAACTAATGATGCCCTAATGGGAATGCTTTGGCACCAGTAGAAAGAAACCCTCGGGCGGTCGTCAGTGGTCCTGGCTGAGCTACACAACCTGTCTGCCCCTTCTCAAGGTGCAGCCTCATCACCATAGGCCACATCACCTCAGCAGTGAGCAGCACCTTAGGATATTGTACAGGGGTGCAATGTCCCCTTGGCCAGAAGTTGGCTTCTGGCCATCTCATGGATGAGGATGTGCTTTTAGAAAATCAGGAGGCAGGAAACTCCCCCTGGTGAAGTTTAGGTGAGCAGAATTCAGACAGAGGGGCAGGAGGAAAGGGAGCAAGTGAGGAGGGAGGGAGACTGGGGCTGGCTGGAGAGGCGTGGAGATGCAGGTGGGCCAGGAAGCACGTGGCAGCACTGATGGGGTCACCCTCTTTCTCGCATCTTTCCTAACCGAGTCTTTAGCCTTCTCATCTCTCCTACCTCCCTTGACACTTGCTCTTTCCCTCTCCACACTCAGGGTTGGGCCTTTCAGAGTTTGTCTTGACAACCAGGGATCAGGAACACATGTGGGTGGGGTGGCCTGGAGTGGTGACAACTTCCAGAGTGACGGGAAAATGGTCTCATGAAGACTGCACAGCCCTCAGACCACACCTCTCCAGTGGGAAAGCCCTTTTTAGCTCAGGACTGGGCTGCAACAGCAAGAGAGGAACAGCTCGTGGCTTTCCCCACAGTTGCTGCCAGCTCTGGAGCAGGGCGGCTCTTTGGAGAGAGCTGACCACAGCACTCAGCGGTTCCCTCTGCCAGGCCCCCCAGACATATCTGGGCACCGCCAAGGCTGGGGAACTCCATGCCAGATCTGTCAGGGCTTCTCTGGGCAGCACTGCAGTGGAAAGTCCCTCTTCTGCTTGTGTTATCTTCCTTTTCTATCTGTACTCTGGTTTCCTCTAGCACTGGTGTGAATTTCAGCAGTTTTGCACCCTTGCTCTTGTATTTTCCTTATTCCAAAGCGTCTAAAGCTTCTAGACGTCTATGGAATAGGAAATGGGAGGAGTCACTCATTGAGCAACGTGTGACTGTCAGATCCTATAAATCCTAGGTACTGGGGATGGACAGAACAGTGATGAAATGGTCATAGGCCCTCCCTTGGCAGAGTGGAGAGTTGAAGATGGTCCTCATCTTCTGAATGGCCTGCAGCAAATGTCACCTTATCCCTGCCCAGCAGCAGAGGCCATGTGAGCCCATAGAGCCCAGCACGGTGACCTGTGCATCATGTAAATGTCTGAATTGCATCAAGTGGAACTGTACTTCTCCCTGGAAGGTGACAGGCCATCGCTGAGGACAGGACATACATAATGTACGATGAGCATGACCAGCCTTAATAAGGGAGCCAGGGGCGGAGTCCCAAGAAGCTAACATTGAGAAAAAGTTTAGTCCCCTTCCCTGAAAACCTCCTGTCTGCAGTCCCAGGCCAAGCAGACAGATTTGGAAAATAGCAATGACATAATTCACACTTCTTTTCCATCCAACACAGAGCAGTCGTGGCACTCTGGCCTTTGCTTATGTTGTTCTCCTGCCTGGAATGCCCTCCTCTGCTCACTTCCTCCAACACAATCCCAGGCAACTAAAGTGTTCAAGGATAAAACAATAGGATATCTGGGATTTGCTGGGATATTAGAGAGGGGGAAGTGAGAAGAGAAGAGGCAGGAGGGGAAATAGTTGAAATAAAACTGGACAATTAATAAAATATGATGCTGGGTATGTTAGGATTCATTCTACTATTCTATTTTGTGTATATTTGGAAATTTTCGTAATAAAACATTTTCTAAAAACTCCTCTGGATCCACAAAACCCAGGTCACTCCCACCTTGTACGTGAAGCTTTCCTGACGGCTCCCCACTCACTCATGGACAGGTCACTCCCTAGTCAAACTCTAATGGCATGACTAGCACCCTCCAAGGCACAGTCATTTAATTCGGCCATATATTAGGTGCTTGCTTTCATAGGCTTTCAATTGTCTCTTTAACTTCATGGCAGAAAGGAGAGGAGGGAAAGCAACTAACATTTCATGAGGGCCCACTATGTATAGGGACTGAACTACATGTTCTCACTTGGGCCATGTCCTGTCTGCTTCTCTAGCACATGGTTGGCTCATCGTGGGTGTCTCATAAACATAGGCCAGAAACATAAAGGAATCACTCACTAAACATTAGCACAACAATCTGGTAGACTAGCATGCAGCCATCAGAGGTAAGCGTCTCATAATATAGGGAAGGACTTCTAAGTGAAAAAAAAAAAAGGGCACAAAATCATACCTGCAGTATGATCCCAACCCTATAAATACTGGCTCTATAGAAGACTGGGTGGATACGTGTATCAAATGTGCTTCTTTCTGGGTAGAGGAGTACTTGGGAAATTTTTTCTTGTTTTTATATTTTCAAAATCTGGTTTAATAATGGTACATAACAGGAATCAGCAAAGTTCTTTTATAAAGGGCCAGGTCGAAGATATTTTCAGTGTCGTAGGCCGTGCAGTCTCCATCACATCTAGTCGACTCTGTCTTGTAGCATGAAAGCAGCCACAGACAATGCGCCAGTGAATAGGGGTGGCGGTGTTCCAGGACGACTTTATTTACAGAAACAGGCAGCAGGCCGGATTTGTCTCATAACCAGCCATAGTTCTACAACCTCTGATATATTATTTTATAATCAGAAAGAAGTTATTTAAGTATATACTCTTTGGTTATAAGATCTTGGTATCATAATCAACAGAACGCAGAACAGAAACCTTACTGCCAGGCTTTATTCTGATACCCTTACATCATGAAACCATGTAAATTAAAAGCCATAAGTGAGAGAATATGAGAATACAGATCCTGTGCTGGATAGAGTAAAAATTAACAATACCTATCATTAATACCAATTTTCTCTCTATTTTTAAGCCTAACATATTTTACTTATTTAGATTTTTCTTTTGTGTCTTTCAATAAAGTTTCATCATATTTTAGTGGCCTCTCCGAAATCTATTATTTTTAAAATATCATGTAGGATGAACAGAAAAACAACAATTTTCATTTTTTTTTCCCCTCCAGATTTTCTGAAGCCAAGGCCCTGGGAGAAAGCATAAATGAAGCAAGAAGTAAAATTGGTAAGCAGATAATATTCTGTGAGCCTCTTTCAGAAACCATTTTCCTGGTGAAAATCAGGTCATGATGTGCCTCCAAATGGCCATGAAGCCCAGTTTCAGGAGAGCCCCTGCCAAGGAAGCTGCTTTGAGAGGCTTCCCTAGGAAGTGTGTGATTCCTCCTGTCACCCAGCAGGAAAAGCACTTTCTTTTGTCTAGAGGTTGAACTTTTCATCCTCAGACAGACCTGAGCTCCAGCATCCCAATCAGAGAGTTGTGCTTTTCCCTGGTGTTTTCAGCAGTAGCTCAGCTAATCATAACTTCACGGTTACAGTGAGACGCCATTTCGTATTTCAAGTATGGTGAAACACTCTTATACCTCCCAAAGCTTCTACTTAGCATTTTTGGCAGAGGTACGATATGTTAGCATCATTCAGTAAGCTGGTGGGAGGATAAGAAGCAAAAACAAGCCATCATGACTTCCCAGGGTGGAGGCTGCCACAGAGGGCTCCCCACTTAGGTGAGTACCGAAGGTGAAATTAAGGCAAGAGGCAACTCAGTAAAATGTGCCTCGAATTCTCGTGGTTTTTTTGTTGTTGTTGTTGTTCATTTGTGTTTTTTGTTTGTTTTTTTTGTTTTGTTTTAAGACAGAGTCTCACTCTGTTGCCCAGGCTGGAGTGCAGTGGCATGATCTCAGCTCACTGCAACCTCCACTTCCCAGGTTCAAGCAATTTTCCTGCCTCAGCTTCCCATGTAACTGGGACTACAGGTGCATGCCATCATGCCCAGCCAATTTTTGTGATTTTAGTAAAGATGGGGTTTCACCACGTTGGCTAGGCTGGTCTCGAACTCCTGACCTCAAGTGATCCACCCACCTCAGCCTCCCGAAGTGCTGGGATGACAGGTGGTGAGCCACCACACCCAGCCTCAAATCCTTTTTAAAGTAAGAGGACTGTGTTTTTTTCATCCCAAACTAAAAGACACCACAGAGACCCATCTCCCAGGCCCAGGGTAGCTTCACAGAAGGGATCCCTGTGCCTCACCTCTGTGCTGGAGAAGGCAGCAGTTCCTGGCTCACAGCTGGCCCGCTGATCTCTCTTACTACCCTCTTTTTTCCCCCTACAAGTGAGGATAGGACAGAAGCCACTGTGAGTGCCCCCTTTAATTTTTCTAACAGAATATAAAAATCACGATAGGCTCAGTTTGTCTCAGTCGGTAAACAGGAGCCCCACAGTCCTCCCTGTGGCCTGAGACAGAAGGGGCTGAGGCAGCCAGACCCAGAGCCACACCCAACCAGCCACACTCAGAATCCTTGTGTCTCAGGGGTTCTTGACCTAAGGTCCAGCATCTTGATAGGAGAGAAATGCCCCTCTATTTTTACTAACCTCTAACTGAAATTTAGCACCACTTCAATGATGAACCCAGTGGAAGTCACAGAGGCTTTCATGTCACATCACAGAGGGGCAGACGTTGTAAAGTATCTTTTGTGCTCATCAGTACAAAATTACAGTGGTTATTAGACTCACCATTAGATCTTTTTATTTAATACATTGACATAAAAGCACATACAGATTTCTGTATCACAAAAGGTTTTACAATTTTGATAACTATTTCAATATAATTGGTTTATCTTAAAAGCCTGTGTATTTTACTTTATGCACCAAACTATTATCCTAAGACGGGGGTCCTGCAAGGTCATCAGACTGCCAGAAGATCACTAGCACAAAAACAGATTTCAAACCCCTTTCTTGACCTGGATTCCTGAACATACTAAAACTGCATGAGAAAAACTGGAAGTTAGGAATGTTTGTATTTTTCTGAAGATAATGTCCATCCATAGCTTAGCTGATTCTCAGAGGGTCCAGTCACCCAAACCAATAAGGAAATTTATTCTAGGCTGATCTCCTTCAGGCAGGAAGGCAGACACTCGGTGAGGGGCAGCCCAGTCCCAGACAGCGGGCAGTGATAGTCTACCTGGCTTGAAGGGGAGAAGGAGGGGAAAGAGGAAGCTGACTTCAGTGGAGCCGGGGCCAATTTGTCAGCATCCTCTTAACCTCAAGGAACTCAGTGGTCTGTTTTCATCCTTGGAGGGATAAGAGAGACCTTTTATAAACTGCTTCTCCCTAAGAAATAATATAAAGTTTTGCTCTTAAAAAACTCTTACTCTGTAAACCAAAATAAAACCATTCCAACATTAATGAAATAGACTAATGATGGAAGGCACCAATGGACTATACTAATATACTTAGTTTTTCACTCTGAGTACAATGGAAATAACTACAAATTCCCCATAACTGTGGTGCAACCATGTATGTTGGTGGAGCAAATTTGCCACATTCTGAAGATCAGGCAGGTTGGGAGCTGCCTTAAAAGCTGCACAGGTGTTTCCTGCCCAAGATCCAAGGGCCAACCAAGTGAGGGCTGTCACTGATCTGCCCAGAGAGGATGTCCGCTTATAATTCATACTCAGAGGGTCCAGATATGCTAGGAGAAGATCTGGACAAGCAAACTTTTGTTTTTTCCAGAAAATAACAAGTAGAACTCACATCAGTATTGAGATTCAAGCTTCCACTGCTACCAAGAACATAGTTAATTAAGTGATGCCTAAAAAGCCAATGCCAGTCTTCACTTCACTTTATGCAAATACCGAAGTAAGACCCATCTCCTGGCCACCTGTCTTTCAAATTGTGCTCTGATCCAAGGGGCCTGGGTGAGTGGGTCATTGAGACTCAGCCGCATTACTGAATAAGGCCTCACGGTGCTTGATCTCAGGGAGTAGCCTGCCGTCACGACATCTCAGACACTAGATTAGGACTAAGGAGGAGGAAGGTGGAACTTGTACACACATTTAAAATTTCCGAGGCAACCCTGAAGGACACTAGTTTCTGGAAATTTAGGATAGAGTGAGTGCATTTTGCTTAGGGAGAAATGAAATCAAACGGAATTTGCAGTCCCCAAGGAGCCCTTCAGTGAGTCTAGGAGGCAGGAGGCAGGAGCGTGGCATGAATTTGCCCTGTCTGCACAGGATGGTGACTCAGCTCCGCTCCCAAACTGGGCCACATCCTGCCATCCGAGGCAA